TTGCCGTCCTCTGTAAAATAAGACCGTGAAATGACCGAGTTCTGCGTAGTCTGTGTAACGCGAACGATGACGGCTAATTTTCGTATTTCCATTTGGAATTGAACGCTGTCATTGCATATTTAGCCTAAGCACGTTTTTAGGACGATTGGCTTACTGAAGAGACCTAGACAATTGCGAATTTCGCAGGTAAAATATAAATTCATTTTTGACTACGCGTTGTCCTCGGCGTCGGAGTCGTCGTTGCTTAAGTTCCCTAGTAACTCAACGTCAACGTAAGAGGTTAGGGTGAAGAACTGACGTTTCTTTTTTCGGGCGGGGGTGGGGGGATGGGGTGTACTGTGGGGTGAGGGAGGGGCGTACAAGTGACTACGATAAAGGCCCTCCCAGAAATTATAGTCTCGTTATTTTTAACTTTGCATTGCGTAAGGAAGGAATGTTAGCATTCGTAAAGTTCACATTCCTTCTGATTTTGGACAACGTGGTGGTCCACTTGCTCGTTTAAAAATACCACACAAGAGTGTTTTCAAGATTTTGTACGGAAGAAAGAAGATACTGGATGAGATATAATGCTCTTTACCGAATTCCCTGAGAAGGCGACCCCCATGCTAGCAACTCACTGAATGCATTTTAAAAGTTCGAGTGCCGGACTCTGCAGGGAAGCAACTACTTTCTAACTTGGTGCAAAACGTATTTTAATGAAAACGTTACCTAATTGTCTCCTGAACATGGCTCGAGCAAATTTCGACATTTTGGGGCACTCTCTTTTCTCCTATGTTAAAAGAAGGTTTCTACTCCCCTAACTTACTTTAGTAATAGCTTAACCATTTTATTATTCCGGTAGCCCACGTGAATTAAATACTACAGTGTATTTCTTAAGTCAGTGAAAATACTTTTATCTTGGCCACCATAATTCTGATGATTTGATGCTTGAAAGTTTGCCTTGGCTAGAGGATTTTGAAATAATTTGGTGAAATAATTTGGTGAAATGATTTGTTTGTGAACAGATTTAGATTTCATGTTTCTTTTCTTGCTAATGGACGAGGGTTTCCCAATAGGCTTTCATGAGTGCTTACGTCAAAACTGCGGATACAAAGATTCTCTGGCAGAAATAATTTGCCCCCAGTCAAGATGTAAGTTAAGAGCCCCACAAAAGATTTAACAAAAGCGAACTAGTTTAATATTGTTCCTGGTTTTAGGAATGCTCGAGAAAACAATCGTTAAGATCCCCCCCCCCCNAAAAAAAAAAAAAGAAAAAAGAAAAAAAGGAAAAATAAATAAAAATAACACGTAGGAAAGTCGCGATAACTATGATTTGCTTTGTTTATGGGAGAAAACATTTCTCCGTGACGGACGACTTTGAAAATAACACGGCACTCCACCTAATGCAGTTTGTCGTTTTCTATTTTCTCGCAGCCTAAAGTGGCTACTCCAGGCAGTTGGAAGATTAGCGTGTTTTAAGGGCTACTAAGGCCATCTTTTGATGGTTTAAGCTAAGTGCGCTCTTATCTCGGAACAAAGAAAGAATATCGGCCATTGAACCACATTGTTTCAAACGAATGTAGCATGTTTTTAAAAAGTTGTCCTGGTTTTCATACGCTCAAGCGATGTGACCTTTTTCTCTACGTTTTCCTGAATCGTTCAGCTCTGCCGTGCTGAGAACAAGACCTGTTGTTAGCTTCAGTTATTTCACTAGTAATTAAATGTTACATAATTTTCGTTGCGCAATGCTGGTCGCTGCTCATGTGTCCCGATGTAGTCACATGTTTCTACTACATGTGCGATCACACGCGTCGTCACTTGAACGAGCAAGCCTTAAATTTAGATCAGGAAAGAAGTGATTAATGACTAATTTAGAAAACTTTCGGTTGAGTGCTTGCACTATAAATAACAACAGAGCAGAAACCGCTTGAGATAAAACCAGAAATACCGCCTTTTGGCCTGGGTGGAATTTACAGCACTGGCCTCACATGAGAGCGGTGGTGATATTGTAGTCCGTGAGCTTCTTGATTCTGTTATAAGATACAAACGAATTAATGGTTCTGTAGTATGACAGAGCGTGTAATTTGGCTGTTGTGTTTGCAGCAACTGCAAAACGATGGCTAACAGTGTAGAATCGATCAAATTATGTGAACTCTAAGTGTGAGCTATTATGGCGACCGCTACTTAAATTCCATTGCTCGAAACTTCAAGCTGTTTCGTCTCTGGTTAACAAAGGATCCATGTTGAATTGCGAAGCCCAGCAATAATCTAGAGCTCTAGCTTCGTTCGCCGTCGTATTCGGTCGGACGGAATAACGCTCAAATACCTCCTCTTTCGAACTCTTGTTTTGTTTTTGTTTGTTTTTTTTTTTACTGTTTTTGCGCTTTTAGAAAAACATCGTGAATAATGATTTCAACCAATCACAGAACACATGGCGGATATATCGCACATGCAAGATATTGGTAGTTTTACGAAGAACAAAATAAAAGCAGCATAAGAACAACAGCGCCAACGAGGAGACAAGAATTTCACGCCGTAATCAATTCTGCAGCCGGTTTCTCGGACAACAATATTCTTCCTGCAGTGTCTAAACTGATTATGTGTTATGTGTGGTAGCTTTGGCTTGAAATTGCGCGCAATATCAGATACTGTTTGCGCAATTTATAAAGCTCCTGAATGAAAGTAATATAGTTCATAACCCTTCTTTTATATCAGTGATCCTTGATCTACGTCAGACACACTTATCCTACTTCTTCAGTGGAAAACTTTCAACTTTTGGCGGATTGGGTCGAACTTATATCTCTGAATATCAGACGTGTTATCGATGCGTTTTCTCTTTTTCGTTCTTCGTTCTGTTAACCAACGTTTCTATTAGTTTCACGACCAGCTGAGAGTTTATCGCGAAATTTTAATTGTTAGTAATTTTCCACTTCTCCCTGTCAATGTTTGATGACGAGCTCTTCTCAAACACTCGCTAAAAATAGCCACTATCTAACTTTAGCCAACATGCTTTGCAGTGTAAATAATGTTCAAAGTGTCAAGACATATATCAATAATTTTGAAAGTTGTCTAAGTCAATGTCTCCATGTGAGTATCACGCAATGAAAGAATCTCAAGATTTACGACTGTGATATTTTGGAACGACAATTTGCAAGATCATGCAGATGACACTGAGACACACTTTACAATTAGCCAGTGGTATCGCTGGCGAGTTTCGTTGTTTTTAATTTTTCCGTTGTCGCGTGCTCTTTAAAGACTTGTAATCTAGTTAAGAAGAGATTTAAGGATTTCGAACAGGCTTGATAATATAATCACCGATCATCTTATTTACTTGTGTGGTGAGAGGACCAAAGTTTATCGGAGTAATCTCGAGCAGGAAGATGCTTGCCAAAGTGTCTTTGCAAAGAAGAAGGGGTCTGGAATTTCCATACCGTCTAGACGTTTACTTATAAAAAAATGACCTTTAGAAGTGGAGAACAATTAACGACAAGAAAACGTGTTTTGCGTAAACGAGAAATGCCAAAGTCTGGTTACTTCTTAGGGTGAATATAATGTTTTTCCGAAGACATTGTAAAATTGCCGGATTTGCGGCGCGCCAAAGTAGCTGTATGTCGCCCTTAAGCCCACCGAAATGCTTTTAGAAATGCTCAATAACATTAATTTATGGTTTTATTATCATCTCGATCTTCAAAACACATCCGTGACCACTTCACCGGCCACTATTTCAAAGGGCGACGGGCTTTTCCGGAAAGAACCATTTGAAGAGCTGGCTTTGTAAACACTTTAGCCTTTGGGTACGTTTTTCCAGGCTTATTTCCTCTGCAGCGCCTTATCGGCGCGCGTTTCTGTCGACGAAAACAGTTCTTGCGTTTTGCCATTTCCCTTGACCACGGGAGGTCCCATTTCTCGTTTGCAAGGGGGGCGCGCACACATCCCGCGGTCTCCGGAAATGAGTAAACAAATAAAGACTAATGAACTGCAGTGTTTGTTTGATGACGCGGTGGTTTCTGCAAAGCACTCCGCTACGAGCGCGTTGTCGATCCACCCAACGGTAGACTTTTCCCTTCGCAGCGCGATTTTGCCGGAATCCGTTTTGGTAAATGCAGATCTCGTGTCACTCGAAAATCAACTCGAGAGCGTGGGCCATCAATTTCACAGGCAATTAGTGCAAATTACCTACGGGACGTATAACAGTTTAATTAGCGCAGTTTTCTTTTGAATAGTGTTACTATAACTGCTGTCCAAATTGCTGCTCTTCAAATAAATGGAAGAATGGAGGTAATATCTCATTTTCACGGACCCACGGATTACACCCACAAAAAAGACATTTCAATTAAACACTTGAAAGTCATTCGTCGTGCTCTTTGTAAAGACCGCGAAATACTCCCAGCAACATTTACATGACAAGTTTCGCGGCGTTGTGATTCTGCTATGTTTAACTTTGGCTGATTGCTAGCATTAGCCCTGAAGTTATTATGTTTGTACGGTCCGCTTTATCAATCCACTATCGTCTTATCAAGGCGTCCGATAAATCCTTTCTACGCTACGAGATTGCAAATCTTGTGCTTTAGGCACAGTGACTCCAATCACTATCTGCAGTCATTCCTTAACTTTATTAAGATATGCTGTCCTTTCGCGAAGCTTCCACTGTTGTCATGTTAAGTGCGCTTGTCTCTAAGGAAATTAGTAACTGTTTTTAGTATTTTGAGTCGCCAAATCTCCTTGACGGCCGGACAGTCTGTTAGCTTTCCGGTAGAAACAACCCTGTGAAAGATCGACTAACTAAGCTCTATGCTGAAGTTATGCGCACGTTATCTGGTTGAAATATTGTAAGGATTGTTTAAGAATTTGGCGACGCAGTACTCGTTGGCGCGTAACAAACTACGCGAGGACTTAGCTGTGGAACGAAACCAAACTTACCACTGAACAAACTTCAACTAGTTCGCGCTGTCTATAGTCTAGCGGTCCGGGGGTTTTGTTTACCGTTCACTATCTGTAGCAAAACAAGCTTCTCTAAAAGACGCGTCAAAATCACATTGCCTTAAAGTGTAAACCGTATGTGGTTGTGCGTGCTTCTAATTAGCATAGAAATCAACCAGATCAAAACATTGCGCACCGTCCGAATGAATGATCGTGCAAAAGTAGCTTGTTGAATTTGTGATTTGTGATTAATCAACGTGTACTCACTGTCTGGGTTGTGAAAGCTCGTGGTGCCTCTAAGTTTTCCCGCCGTGGAGATCTTGAGAAAGAATCCATTCTTGTTGTAGAGTCTAACGACTCTTGTGTTGGTTGGAACTTGGAGAATGTTCATTTTTTGCACGCTTGTAGACTTGGCCACTTGTTGGTTTGGTTTAACGGACGTTCGGTGAAAATCGGCTTTCTTAACAGCTTGCTTGGACGGTAGAGCCAGCGAAGAACAAATCAGTAGGCAAACGATGGTGACATACGTTACCTGGATAGGACAAAAAAAAGTAGACAAAAGATTATTATGACTTGCTAATAATTTAAACAAACTGATGAAAATGTTCGGTCGCCTCCGACACGCGAAAATGGTGATTATGCTTTGCACACAAGAAAAATTTCCTCAACTAAATAAAAAGGCTTTAAAGTAAAAGCTCTTTACTGTAAGAATCATGGTGAAAAATTAACACTGAGTTGAAATTTCTAAATGCGTTTTTGCCACTTTTAGCACCGAGCGCTTACCGTTCTTACAACTGTCTCCATCGTGAAAGCTCTTCTCATCTACTTGCATTAGAAAGTGTAACCGCAATTTACACCGATTAGCTGTCATTATGGTTTTATGACCATTTCCTCCTTCCTTTGGTCTTCTTAAACAGTTTGAAATCTATCCCTCTTTAAATTCTGCCTCTTTAACAATGTGAAAATCGGCTCTCTTTTACGCGTGCGACCTAACCCAGACTTAGCCGCGGCGATATTGTAAGGCGAGTAATTGCTTTTTGTGGGTGAAAAAAATGTATTTAAAATGCCGACGTATTTGCTGACAAGCCCCCCTATTACCGAGCCATCACCCTTCCTAATATTGAGCTATTTGTGAAGAAAGTTGTACAAACATGAATATCTGCAGACCCTTGTAGATAGGAAGTGTTGGGTGAGCGTGCAGACGATATGGACTGCGTTCGGAGGGAATTTTGCAGTAGCGTTCGGCCAAAGAATAAAACCAGCCGTTTGAAATAGTTGGAATTCTTTGCTTGTCTTAACTGCTCTTTTTCGGCAAATGAACAAAAGCTCGATAAGTCACTGAGAAAACATCATGAAAGCGTTTGGAGCGACTTCCGCGGCGTCGAGAGGCGTTCTGTGCAGATTTACACAGTCAAACAGTCGAAAATTGTTTCGAATTTCTGTTTGCGTTGAAGTGTTGATTCAAAGCTAATGGCCAAGGACTGCTCGTTTACAGAGTGCCATTGCTACTTCACAGAGTAAAACACCGACTGGCACTTGGGGAAACAAAAAGACTGAATTACCGTCTATTCATTGGAGGCTTGTGTGCGTGCGTTCCGATGACGAGACGAAAGTCTCCTTAAAGTTCTATTCCAGGGCTATTATCTGTTCATTTTCCTCTTGCACGCAACTTTCGTTCTCCACTCACCGGAGCGAATGTCTTAGAAACCCTTTCGAACACAGCTAATTTCTCACTTCCGGCCCCGTCGTGATCTTATTGTATCTCTATTTATTAATTACAACCGATCCGTGTAAAAAAATTATCCCTTAAAAACTGCAGACTCTTCCTACGAAGGGCAGTGCGGACCTAAACTTTGCAAAAAGCTTCTATGAGTTTGTCAAATTTTCTGCAAACCAGCCATTTCCTGACGCGTTAATGGACCTGTTCTCCGCGGCATTTAAAGTGTAGCCTTTGTTGTTTCAACTCTAAGAAGCTCTTGATCCAAAAACTATGCATAAATTGTTTTCTGTCTGCTCTGCAGTGAAGTAATTGCTCTCGCGAGACATTCTAAAAATACCTCGAATTTGCTTCTTGATCGCGTAAACAGTTGCGTCACCATGGCAACACTAGCTTGCATAATTGAATTTTTACTTATAATCTGTTCGAATACAGTGGTGTGAAAAGTGTTTGAAAGGAATACAACCAGAGAGGAACAGATATAAGCTGCGTGTCTCGATTAAAATTACTCACTAAAGCTTTTTAATTTCTATCGTTCGACTTACTGTCAATAAAATCAAGTTGTTCACTTATTTTTGGCATCAAACTCCAGATCGCCCTCCGTGGAAGAACGTCAAGTGATCGATGAGTAGTTTTGCTCTTAATTTCATTGATAGCTTAGTTTTCGTGTCTTCCGCCTCCGATGAAAAATCTGAGGGCACGACCAAAACTATTTTGGGAGATTTTAAGAGAAACCACATCAATTAATTAAACACACAATCTACCCATGTGCGCTTCACGCACTCGAAAAGTAAATTGTTACATCATGCATCCAAAATGTAACGGATTCTTCGTCATATGATTGTGAAGACTGTAAGCCCAGTTGATTGCGTCGCATTCTAGATTTCACTCGTGGATTTGAAGCATTCTTACTTATTACGTGAGGTTTCGCTTGATTTCACCGCACCGTTTGTTTCGGTTCACTTGAATTTCAAGAGTTTTGAGTTATCGGTTAAAGTACTTTGCATGAAAACTTAGCAAAACTTAGAGAATTGTTTGCTCAAGGTAATGCGCTTTAGCGATGGCTTTAAAACTTAGTGTTTCCTTTAATGAATGGTAGAGATTTAGCTTCTTGTTATCTAAGTTTGCAATTTGAAAGAAAGACTGAACGAAAATTAACTACTTCTAAGAACCGTAGACTGGGCGCGTTTTTTTTGTGGGTCAATTAACCAGTTCAAATTTTTTCACGTCACTGACTTTTTCCTTGTTTCAATGTCTTAATAAGTTAGTGTAATGTTCTGAGCATAAAAATACCTTAGCTTCGTTTTAAGCCCAGAACCAATATACCCTTCATAGCAGTGCAATGAAGCTTAAATTGATGCGGTGTAACACTTTAAGTTTAAAGGTGAAGGTATGGGAATGCGAAAAATCAAACTTAGTTGTCGCACGGTTATCGAGACCGACCATTGTTTATGTACATAAGAATTCTTAAGTAAAAAGTGTTACTTAAAAGGTATTGACCTACCCGCTCAAGCATGATCCGCCTAGAAGCCCTCTAGAAGTTATCTGCTTCTGTCAGCTCTTTGGTTGCGTAAAGGACATCATTACTAAATCAAAATGACAAGGAAACTTCTTAGCTACTCTAGATTACTCTGTCAATATCTTTGGCGTTTTGCTGTTAAGAATCAATCCGCTCTTTTAAGACTCGTCGCTGGCTATCAACATTTTGAATGCTTGTGTCCTGAGCGAAACTATTGGTAAGCTTATATATGTATCGTTATGGCGTTGATTTTCGATTTACTCTGATAGCGTGTTTGGTAGAAACAAAATACCGGAAAAAAAATGAATGAATGAAAACAAGGATGGGATGTCTGACTCATTTATCAACTACAAATCTCGCTAATTAAGTGACACTGCGTATGCTTAGAGAAAAGATTTACAGAAACATTACGGGAAGATGTAACAAATGCGAACCGGAAATGGACCCCTTAGCACCTCGTACAAAAACATCGTTTTGTACAAGCGCCCAGACTCAAACGCTTGCCGCCAGAACCCGCGGCTCCTTTGAACGTTGTGTAACGCCAAAACCTTGAATTGTATTTCTTCCGTGGCTGTGTTTTGCTTACGCTTGTGTGTCCATTGTATTTGAGCTTAAAATGGCCCCTTCTCACGTCATTAATTGGCTTTGTGTTGCCCGCCACCAGCGAAGTGCGCAAAAACGCATCTCAAGGGCGCCCTTATTTCTTGTGCGACAAGACATTTAATGAACGTAACCTTTTTGAAGTCAGCTCCAACTTTTCCTCCTTTTCTTTAATATTTTAACGTAGTTTAATTGGCAAATGTTCGAGTCATAAATGATCGCTATATCTTCGAAGAACATCTAATGCAACATTAATCTACCAAAACGTGACCCGTATGATTTATCGAACACTTCGAGTCATTCACGAGTATTACATTTGAATACGGAAAAACAGGCCGGATTCCTCTAGAATATTCCAGGTGTATTTCGAGTCAGCCGCAATCGAATACGTCAGAACATTGCGGCATACGCGGCGTGAGCCGATCCGTATTCGAGCGAATTCGGGCCCGAATATTTGGCTTTTCGCGCAGTGTCAAGAGATCAGAGGGCGTCGAGATATCAGAGATTATCCCTTGCGACAATTGCTCTTCAATGATGCAGTTGTACTCCGCGAACAGTTCAGGGTTTCTTTTCAGACACTTTAGAACAGAGGCCAGGCGTGAAACTGCTAATGCACAGTTATCCCGTAACAGTGCGTGTTGTTCCTTCCAAGGTAGAGAGACTTCATAGCGACCATCGCATGAGCGAGTGGTGTCCAAGAACTTGTCGTGCACTGTCCCTTCATATGGTGACACCGACACTTTCTAACTCCCAGACCGTCTTCACTTGTTCCACTTTTCGGCTGGTATTTAGGTCATCACAGCTAGAAGTGTTAAGCCTCAGGGTGTGGCATGTTACCAGACTAACATTAGAGCCCGATCCAGGTGAGTGGGCCATGGGTCCAGACAATACCCATCCAAGACTCGTTTTCATCGCCACGATTCCTGATTCCCCCCATTTTATGTCTCCAGTAAAGAAAGATCAGTAGAAATCGTTTCCAATCAATAGATCTACTTCTGAACCAGTCTTCGCTTGGGTGATCTGCGAGCTCCAGGTCAGCCAAATGACTGTAAGACTGTTGTGCAAATTGCACTGCTTGATCCGTTAACGGACTGCAAATGAGAGGGACTGCAAGGGCAGTCATCTGAACCTTTGAGCTTTCACTCAGTCCCCTGACACAGAATTCGACGACGTCACATTCCTTTAATTGTTCATTCTCTTGTCCAAACGTCTGCCTTCTCTTTTCTCTTGGGGAGTAAATTTAGTTTGGCCTTTGCGCGTTCTGATAAGTAACTTCGCTGTCTGCCACTGTCGTTTAAGATGCGCATATTCACCACAGGATGCAACTGATGAACCATCGACACTGGAGCACTGGCCATTTGTAACAAGATTGACGTGTTCGAGTCCACATAAATCGTTGTAGAGGACTTGTTCTGCGTTCTCCTCCATCAGACGCCACCACACTGCTTCCTCGAGATTGGTTTTCTCAGGTACCACTGCCACGGCTGGCATTTTCACGGATTGACATAAATGATGTTTTCCTGAGTAAATACAACACACTTTGTTCGGTGAGTAATTTCTCGCCAAGTGGTTGCGCCTTAAACAAACAAAGCACGTTCTGGGCCAAAAACCCCTCTTAGGTGAGAAGGGTGAGTTCAGAGTTCGTAAAGTTCAAGACAGATTGGGTTGAATCCTCGATTTTCTATGCCCTTCCAAAAGTTGTGCTCAAATTGTTGTACGACCGCGTACAGGGATGAGCGAGGTAGATGACGTCTACCCAGAAACGACAGTACCCCGTTCCCTGGGTAGACAATAGCCGCTGGACGAAACTTCCCCAGGGCACAGAATCGAGGATTTAGCCAAATCCATTTTTTTCGTGGAAATTCTTCGAATTACAAATAGATTTATTTAAGCGAATTTTTAAAAACTTTTTGGGGCTAGGTGCACTTTAATACTTGAAGCCTTTGAGAGAGTACAATTATCAATACTGTGATTTTTGTTTTTCAGCTGGTAATTTTCGGTGGGATGAATGATCAGAAAGANGGGGATGGAATTAGGTGCACTTTAGTTCAATAGTTTCAATTTGCATTTTGACAATGTCTCCACGAAAACCACTTTCACTTTCATTGACTATTTTTATTTTTGTCGCCAGTGGATTTATTTCTTTATTTGTCCACTTTAGTGGTGTTGTTTAATAAATTGTGTGAACGAAAAATGTTGTGGGGGTTAGGTGCACTTTAAAGATTCACTTTATCATTATGGAAATTACTGACTCCAATGATTTCTTGATATGGTCATCCAGCTTCGTTCATTTTGCTCGGAACTGCCTATCGCTTAGTTAATTGCATCTTCGGAACACGCTCGTGAAACGATCGGCTACGAACACTCCCCGAAAGTTGACTGTTCACAGACCCTCTAATCTCAATGGTTGAAATGATCCAAGATGGCTGATGTTCATGTTTCAAGAAACGACGGCAAAGAAAAGAGTTAGACTCATTAAAATTCAATCACATTTTTATTAAAATACGGTATAAAAAATTTCTGTAAACGTATGATTTACGACGCTTACATTTTTAATTTAACATATATTTCATATCATTTGAATTCCAAGCAACCATAGACATTGACCAAACCTTGGTCTTTTCCGATGGAAATGTTAACTGTTTGCAATCGTTGTGAACAAGTGAAATTAAATTAAAATTTCCAATACTATTTACAACGTTGTTTATTCTGTCGTTATCTGCATCTTTTATTTTCTTGTACATAAATATTTTGCTACATGATATCTTTTGGAATGTTAGACAAAACAGGTCGACCTTGGCATGTCTTGTTTCTTGTATATATAACTCTTAAATTTAGGTTTGTTCTTCCGCGCAAAGTTTCAAACGGTTCGATGCCATGTATATATTTTCTCTCACCAAAGTACATTCGAAACAATATAAAACACGATTTTTCACCCTCAGTTGACATGTTTGGCCAGCAACCGGTAAAATAGGTTATCTTTACTCATCGAAACGTTGTCCTTATATCTGACCTCGTTTACCAGTAACTCCAGCCTTTAAATATAACATTTGTGTCTCAGATTTTAAAATTCGCTTTAAATAGTTATGCTGGTCGGACAAACGTATTGAGAGTTGAATAATTATATACAGCCTGTAGTTTCTGTTTTCTCTTGCCACACAACAATATTTCCATAGCGCAACCAGAAAAAAAAAAACTCTTTTCTTTGAGATAAACGTAAAAGCATCCTTCATATTTAAAGAGGTAGCATCCTCCCCNCCCCCCCCTTTGATCAGTATTTAACAACATACATTGTTTTTCCCCATATCCAAAGTATCCTTTTAGGCCTAAAAGGGCTTCCTCTAGAAAATAACGCCATTCACCCACAAATTCGTAGTGTCATTTCACTGTAGTCATTTGGCTTTTCTATATTGCAACAGTGGCGTTTACTGCATTGCTGCTAACTCGGTTCAGTGTTCCACAATGTTACGTATAGATATAGTTGGTATTTCTTCTGTTGTTACCATTGAGTTTTTAGCCCCCCATGAGTCGTTGCATAATCAGCCTCCGCGAGGTACGAAAAGGTTTGGCATGCTCAGGCACTTTGCAACTCTTTTTTTAAAGAAAGCTATTAGTTAAAGCCGGGCCTTTGTTGGTGAAGTACATTGGAGTTATTTCATGTCCCGCAACCTCTTCCGGATCTCACCGTTGATCAGTTCCTTTTTTAGAATCGGTTGTTGTCTAGGTTCTTCAAGGGAATCATACTGTAATAATTGTTGTCACTTTTGATTTTTCCAGTGGGAACTCTATTCCAGTGGCAACGTGCTTTCTATATGTTGAGATATTTCTCAAATTCGTCTCATATCGTGTTCCTAGTCTTTGCTAAGTTGATCTGTGATCATTACACAGCACTTTCTCTCTTTGTTCACTTCTCCGCCATCACTGTTGTAACAACTTGACGAGCGTTTTCCTCCACGGCGCTGCTCCGTACCTCGAGTTGTACTTATGTTCGCGTTTCCTCTGTTACCTCTTTTTCGGCACCACCATAAAGTCGACAGATTTTTGGATCGCTGCTGTGTTTGCTCCGTGTTTTAGTTTTCCGTTTTTCTTGATAGCGATGTAGAATTCGTGGGTGATGTTCCCTGGGTTTTTCCCGCTGTACTTGTGAGAGGCAAACGTGTGGAAGTGATTTGCACCCAGTTTTTCTTTAAACAAGCATTCATCTGTTGGCCGAGCCTAAAGAGGNATCAATCAGTCAATCAATAAATGTATAAATACATAAATTGAAAATGCGTGGTTGTTGCAGTTCAGGAAGAAAGGAAAGGTACTTTATCTTGGTTAGATACCAAAATAAATGTATTGGTCACTTTATGTCAATCGTTCAAATAACTATTTAATTCCATAAGGAGATCGATGAATCAATCAATTAGCATGTCAATCGGTCAATACCTTTATTGATCAGTTCGTAGCTGACTGGTCAATAGATGAGTAGGATGATTGATCGGATGAACTTATCAGCTACTCAACAAATACTTTGATCAAACAATTGGTCCATCAATCAATCCGCCAATCATTTAGTCAATGCATCTATCAATTTGTCAATCAATCAATTGGTCAATCAATCACTCAACCAATCCATCGATCAAACCATCAATTTATCAATCCGTCAGTTAATCATAGCGTCCGTCCGTCCTTCCATCTGTCAGTCAGTCAGTCAGTCAGTCAGTCAGTGGTCAGTCGGGCAGTGGGTCAGTCAATCATTCAGTCAATCAGTGCGTCCTTACACCCGTCCGTCAGTCCGTCAGTCAGTCAGTGGTCGGTGGGTCATTGGGTCAGTGAGTCAGTGAGTCAGTGAGTCAGTGAGTNGCGACGGGCTTTTCCGGAAAGAACCATTTGAAGAGCTGGCTTTGTAAACACTTTAGCCTTTGGGTACGTTTTTCCAGGCTTATTTCCTCTGCAGCGCCTTATCGGCGCGCGTTTCTGTCGACGAAAACAGTTCTTGCGTTTTGCCATTTCCCTTGACCACGGGAGGTCCCATTTCTCGTTTGCAAGGGGGGCGCGCACACATCCCGCGGTCTCCGGAAATGAGTAAACAAATAAAGACTAATGAACTGCAGTGTTTGTTTGATGACGCGGTGGTTTCTGCAAAGCACTCCGCTACGAGCGCGTTGTCGATCCACCCAACGGTAGACTTTTCCCTTCGCAGCGCGATTTTGCCGGAATCCGTTTTGGTAAATGCAGATCTCGTGTCACTCGAAAATCAACTCGAGAGCGTGGGCCATCAATTTCACAGGCAATTAGTGCAAATTACCTACGGGACGTATAACAGTTTAATTAGCGCAGTTTTCTTTTGAATAGTGTTACTATAACTGCTGTCCAAATTGCTGCTCTTCAAATAAATGGAAGAATGGAGGTAATATCTCATTTTCACGGACCCACGGATTACACCCACAAAAAAGACATTTCAATTAAACACTTGAAAGTCATTCGTCGTGCTCTTTGTAAAGACCGCGAAATACTCCCAGCAACATTTACATGACAAGTTTCGCGGCGTTGTGATTCTGCTATGTTTAACTTTGGCTGATTGCTAGCATTAGCCCTGAAGTTATTATGTTTGTACGGTCCGCTTTATCAATCCACTATCGTCTTATCAAGGCGTCCGATAAATCCTTTCTACGCTACGAGATTGCAAATCTTGTGCTTTAGGCACAGTGACTCCAATCACTATCTGCAGTCATTCCTTAACTTTATTAAGATATGCTGTCCTTTCGCGAAGCTTCCACTGTTGTCATGTTAAGTGCGCTTGTCTCTAAGGAAATTAGTAACTGTTTTTAGTATTTTGAGTCGCCAAATCTCCTTGACGGCCGGACAGTCTGTTAGCTTTCCGGTAGAAACAACCCTGTGAAAGATCGACTAACTAAGCTCTATGCTGAAGTTATGCGCACGTTATCTGGTTGAAATATTGTAAGGATTGTTTAAGAATTTGGCGACGCAGTACTCGTTGGCGCGTAACAAACTACGCGAGGACTTAGCTGTGGAACGAAACCAAACTTACCACTGAACAAACTTCAACTAGTTCGCGCTGTCTATAGTCTAGCGGTCCGGGGGTTTTGTTTACCGTTCACTATCTGTAGCAAAACAAGCTTCTCTAAAAGACGCGTCAAAATCACATTGCCTTAAAGTGTAAACCGTATGTGGTTGTGCGTGCTTCTAATTAGCATAGAAATCAACCAGATCAAAACATTGCGCACCGTCCGAATGAATGATCGTGCAAAAGTAGCTTGTTGAATTTGTGATTTGTGATTAATCAACGTGTACTCACTGTCTGGGTTGTGAAAGCTCGTGGTGCCTCTAAGTTTTCCCGCCGTGGAGATCTTGAGAAAGAATCCATTCTTGTTGTAGAGTCTAACGACTCTTGTGTTGGTTGGAACTTGGAGAATGTTCATTTTTTGCACGCTTGTAGACTTGGCCACTTGTTGGTTTGGTTTAACGGACGTTCGGTGAAAATCGGCTTTCTTAACAGCTTGCTTGGACGGTAGAGCCAGCGAAGAACAAATCAGTAGGCAAACGATGGTGACATACGTTACCTGGATAGGACAAAAAAAAGTAGACAAAAGATTATTATGACTTGCTAATAATTTAAACAAACTGATGAAAATGTTCGGTCGCCTCCGACACGCGAAAATGGTGATTATGCTTTGCACACAAGAAAAATTTCCTCAACTAAATAAAAAGGCTTTAAAGTAAAAGCTCTTTACTGTAAGAATCATGGTGAAAAATTAACACTGAGTTGAAATTTCTAAATGCGTTTTTGCCACTTTTAGCACCGAGCGCTTACCGTTCTTACAACTGTCTCCATCGTGAAAGCTCTTCTCATCTACTTGCATTAGAAAGTGTAACCGCAATTTACACCGATTAGCTGTCATTATGGTTTTATGACCATTTCCTCCTTCCTTTGGTCTTCTTAAACAGTTTGAAATCTATCCCTCTTTAAATTCTGCCTCTTTAACAATGTGAAAATCGGCTCTCTTTTACGCGTGCGACCTAACCCAGACTTAGCCGCGGCGATATTGTAAGGCGAGTAATTGCTTTTTGTGGGTGAAAAAAATGTATTTAAAATGCCGACGTATTTGCTGACAAGCCCCCCTATTACCGAGCCATCACCCTTCCTAATATTGAGCTATTTGTGAAGAAAGTTGTACAAACATGAATATCTGCAGACCCTTGTAGATAGGAAGTGTTGGGTGAGCGTGCAGACGATATGGACTGCGTTCGGAGGGAATTTTGCAGTAGCGTTCGGCCAAAGAATAAAACCAGCCGTTTGAAATAGTTGGAATTCTTTGCTTGTCTTAACTGCTCTTTTTCGGCAAATGAACAAAAGCTCGATAAGTCACTGAGAAAACATCATGAAAGCGTTTGGAGCGACTTCCGCGGCGTCGAGAGGCGTTCTGTGCAGATTTACACAGTCAAACAGTCGAAAATTGTTTCGAATTTCTGTTTGCGTTGAAGTGTTGATTCAAAGCTAATGGCCAAGGACTGCTCGTTTACAGAGTGCCATTGCTACTTCACAGAGTAAAACACCGACTGGCACTTGGGGAAACAAAAAGACTGAATTACCGTCTATTCATTGGAGGCTTGTGTGCGTGCGTTCCGATGACGAGACGAAAGTCTCCTTAAAGTTCTATTCCAGGGCTATTATCTGTTCATTTTCCTCTTGCACGCAACTTTCGTTCTCCACTCACCGGAGCGAATGTCTTAGAAACCCTTTCGAACACAGCTAATTTCTCACTTCCGGCCCCGTCGTGATCTTATTGTATCTCTATTTATTAATTACAACCGATCCGTGTAAAAAAATTATCCCTTAAAAACTGCAGACTCTTCCTACGAAGGGCAGTGCGGACCTAAACTTTGCAAAAAGCTTCTATGAGTTTGTCAAATTTTCTGCAAACCAGCCATTTCCTGACGCGTTAATGGACCTGTTCTCCGCGGCATTTAAAGTGTAGCCTTTGTTGTTTCAACTCTAAGAAGCTCTTGATCCAAAAACTATGCATAAATTGTTTTCTGTCTGCTCTGCAGTGAAGTAATTGCTCTCGCGAGACATTCTAAAAATACCTCGAATTTGCTTCTTGATCGCGTAAACAGTTGCGTCACCATGGCAACACTAGCTTGCATAATTGAATTTTTACTTATAATCTGTTCGAATACAGTGGTGTGAAAAGTGTTTGAAAGGAATACAACCAGAGAGGAACAGATATAAGCTGCGTGTCTCGATTAAAATTACTCACTAAAGCTTTTTAATTTCTATCGTTCGACTTACTGTCAATAAAATCAAGTTGTTCACTTATTTTTGGCATCAAACTCCAGATCGCCCTCCGTGGAAGAACGTCAAGTGATCGATGAGTAGTTTTGCTCTTAATTTCATTGATAGCTTAGTTTTCGTGTCTTCCGCCTCCGATGAAAAATCTGAGGGCACGACCAAAACTATTTTGGGAGATTTTAAGAGAAACCACATCAATTAATTAAACACACAATCTACCCATGTGCGCTTCACGCACTCGAAAAGTAAATTGTTACATCATGCATCCAAAATGTAACGGATTCTTCGTCATATGATTGTGAAGACTGTAAGCCCAGTTGATTGCGTCGCATTCTAGATTTCACTCGTGGATTTGAAGCATTCTTACTTATTACGTGAGGTTTCGCTTGATTTCACCGCACCGTTTGTTTCGGTTCACTTGAATTTCAAGAGTTTTGAGTTATCGGTTAAAGTACTTTGCATGAAAACTTAGCAAAACTTAGAGAATTGTTTGCTCAAGGTAATGCGCTTTAGCGATGGCTTTAAAACTTAGTGTTTCCTTTAATGAATGGTAGAGATTTAGCTTCTTGTTATCTAAGTTTGCAATTTGAAAGAAAGACTGAACGAAAATTAACTACTTCTAAGAACCGTAGACTGGGCGCGTTTTTTTTGTGGGTCAATTAACCAGTTCAAATTTTTTCACGTCACTGACTTTTTCCTTGTTTCAATGTCTTAATAAGTTAGTGTAATGTTCTGAGCATAAAAATACCTTAGCTTCGTTTTAAGCCCAGAACCAATATACCCTTCATAGCAGTGCAATGAAGCTTAAATTGATGCGGTGTAACACTTTAAGTTTAAAGGTGAAGGTATGGGAATGCGAAAAATCAAACTTAGTTGTCGCACGGTTATCGAGACCGACCATTGTTTATGTACATAAGAATTCTTAAGTAAAAAGTGTTACTTAAAAGGTATTGACCTACCCGCTCAAGCATGATCCGCCTAGAAGCCCTCTAGAAGTTATCTGCTTCTGTCAGCTCTTTGGTTGCGTAAAGGACATCATTACTAAATCAAAATGACAAGGAAACTTCTTAGCTACTCTAGATTACTCTGTCAATATCTTTGGCGTTTTGCTGTTAAGAATCAATCCGCTCTTTTAAGACTCGTCGCTGGCTATCAACATTTTGAATGCTTGTGTCCTGAGCGAAACTATTGGTAAGCTTATATATGTATCGTTATGGCGTTGATTTTCGATTTACTCTGATAGCGTGTTTGGTAGAAACAAAATACCGGAAAAAAAATGAATGAATGAAAACAAGGATGGGATGTCTGACTCATTTATCAACTACAAATCTCGCTAATTAAGTGACACTGCGTATGCTTAGAGAAAAGATTTACAGAAACATTACGGGAAGATGTAACAAATGCGAACCGGAAATGGACCCCTTAGCACCTCGTACAAAAACATCGTTTTGTACAAGCGCCCAGACTCAAACGCTTGCCGCCAGAACCCGCGGCTCCTTTGAACGTTGTGTAACGCCAAAACCTTGAATTGTATTTCTTCCGTGGCTGTGTTTTGCTTACGCTTGTGTGTCCATTGTATTTGAGCTTAAAATGGCCCCTTCTCACGTCATTAATTGGCTTTGTGTTGCCCGCCACCAGCGAAGTGCGCAAAAACGCATCTCAAGGGCGCCCTTATTTCTTGTGCGACAAGACATTTAATGAACGTAACCTTTTTGAAGTCAGCTCCAACTTTTCCTCCTTTTCTTTAATATTTTAACGTAGTTTAATTGGCAAAATTAGAATTAATACGTCCTCCTGACACTGTGGATTAGGTGCGTCGTTGCGGAAGCCTGCGAACACACTACGTCTTTGGAATTGTTGTGAAGATTTGTCGAGAGAACATAGTGCTGTACTTTAGAGAATAAAACTCAAAGCTAAATAGCCATAAAATCGTGCATTACTTCATTACCTTTCCCTAAAGTAAACTATGACACTGAAAATTCAGATGGACTTCATCGCAGGTAACTTTGGTTGTCTGTGTTCTTGTCCTCCTTTCAGACTGAGATATTTTCCCTACTTGTGTTAGAGTTTTCAGTCGCATGACTATCCTAAATTAATTATTGTCATTTATGACGCATTAGCTCTTCGTTATAGCTGTTTTTCAGACTGAGTGAACTGATTTCCTTAGAAAGCAATATTCAACTCATGTGACAAGAGGCATTGCTAATCTTGGTCAAGTGGCCCACGGTCAAGGCGTTAGACTCTCCCAATACGAAGCTGCCATGTTGTTTTTTGGCACTGCGGCAGAAAGGCTTTATAGTGAACTGCAATTGGTGTCACAGTTAAAACAACAAAAACCTTCACTGACAAAAAGCAAAATGCTTACAATGGGAAGCAACTTCGTACAGAATCATAAATTTCTTCTCTTATGCTAAGCATATTGCCAAGTGTGAGCATTGCCTGATTTCTCCACCCCATCATATATTCTCTCAGCTACAGCCATGCATAAAGTCCACTTCGTCTTTCTGCCGTCATTTTGTAAGACGTTCAGACATGGCGGAAAAAGCAACTCGGTGTCGAGTATTTAAATTCTGAACGTTTGAATTCTGAAATGGAAAACAATATGCGGGATTTGGCTGTTCTGTCAGCATAGATTCAACTCTCAAGCTTTCTACATTGTCTTGCGAAAAGCTGAGCGACTTTCATAGAACAATCAGACATCCTCGAAGGAATGGTTAACTTTGCAAGTTGGAGTTATGATGAATTGTGGCGTCGCGGCCTTTTTACAATGAACTCCGTCAACAACAAACACTGATCAATTACGACAACATAGTGGAACCTTACCAGTCTTTACCATCGTTCGTTCAACTCACTTTAGGTGATAGTTCCTTCAATTTAGGCGTGTAAGCAATCAAGCTCGCTCTTTCAAGGAGTGTCTTTGCTAAGCTGATAGCCTATGGCCTTGTTTACAGAATGTCGGCTCCTTTGCTTCTCTTAAGCATGGCGTAGTTTTCCAACTTTTAACAACACAGAAGAATAAGCCAGAAAGCCAATTTCAGTAAAGCATTGTTGAACAAATGGGCTACCTAGTGCCAGCGGAAACTTTGTGTTACGTCAAAACCCCTTTGCCAACTTTCCGACAATGCCCTGTCTCCCTTATGTATATCCTAAATCTCCGTGGGAATGTAGCCATTTCTACCGGGCTCTGACCGCTTAATCCGACTCTCTCCACAGAGTTGTCCAAGCTCAAACTAAAGAACTCGTGCTGTTTTGCTAATCCGCTATCGCTGAACCTTAATTAATATAACCTCGACTGCCACGTTGTTTTGCAAATATATGAAAACTTCGATTTGCTGTGGCGAAAATAAGCAGCTGAAACCATATCAGCATGAACTCTTCGTCTGCTGATGAAAGTGCAACCCTTATAAATTCTCTTCCGATTAGTCTGCGATTCGATCAATCTATGTTTTCTAGAATTTTCTCATGTACGACTTTAAAGACTTTCCTTTGCGGCCTATATTGTACAATCCTCCTCTCTGTGTTGGCTAGGTATGATTCTAATGTACACGAATTGTTCCGTACATAAAAGTGGAACAAACTGACTCATGGCATATTACTCATCAAAACTATTTTTTTTTTCACAAATCCTTACGCGTTGAGAAGAGCTTTATATGAGTATAAATTAATTTATCGTAATGAGAAAGCAGTCCTGCATTCAAATGCTTCAGTTGAGCTTACCTTCGTTTTCAACGCAAACAGCATCCTTAGTAAACTTTAAACCATTTCAACTTTTATGGCTATATTTCAGTAATATATATAATTTTATTAACATATTGTTCTCAGTCTGCTTTTTTCTATAATTAATTATTTCAAATATATATTTATCTTTAAAAAAAAAAAAAACACCGTGTACAAATAAAGTTATTAATCAATACAACAGTCAATCAATGATGTGGGTCTCGTGTTTTCGTTGAAAAAAGTAGACAATACAGAGGAATTGTCCCGGCCTAGTTAAATATGTTTCCCTGCTTTTCAATATCCAGTTAAAGTGAACAACGAAGCGCACGAAGCGCTGACCAATCAAATTGCAGCCAGTGCTCAATAGCCAATCAGGTAAAAGTGATAGGGATTTCGTCCACGCAACTTTTCCTGAGCTTTTGAGTGGCTGGTCACATGGTTACTTGGGCTTTTGCTATTATAAAGGAACATAATTAAAAACTGAATGCTATTTCTCAGGAAACGATTTTGTGGCAATCCTGCAGAGAGCAATAACATTCTTATTTTTGTAGACACAAAGAAAACGAAAGAGACCACGCCCAATGGAATGAACACAATATGGCTCAAGTTTTTCTCCTAAAAACGTGATCGTGTTGTTTCACCAATTTCAGGGGGATCTTAAAATATGTGATTGTGAACATTAAACTCCTTTCACTGAGAAAACCTTGGAAAAGCAAGAAGCAGGTTTCCAAATATGTAGACTGCATATTCTCAAACAAAAAATACATTTCCCAATTGTAATTCTCAATCAATCTCCTGTTTTGTTTTAACCATCCATTAAATCACCGTTTAATTTTATCTCACACAAGTCTCCACTGCGGACCTGTTTTATACCTCGTTGTGAATCATCGTATTGACTTTATTTATGGCTCTTCATTCTTTAAAAATTGTCCGACCTTGCTCTTCAAAATGAAAAGCGTGTATCATTTTCAATCATGCATCTGCTGTTGTTCTACTTTTTTATTTCTCTGTTTTTATGATTCACTCTTTTTTTTTTTTTTACAAATAAGAATATTGCTTTCAGGCCCAGGCTGAATATTATAATTATTATTTTTCTGCCGATTTTAGTCTGAAACTAGATACTCTTGAGAGTATTCTTAGATTGTAATATATGGCATTTCCGTTTTATTGACTTTGATGGCGTTGAGGTAGTTTTAAGCCCGAGGCTGCAGGTAATGAAAACCTGATATGACAAACAACTTCTTGCAACGTTATCAACATTGAACATACGGCTAGTGCTGAGTGTGTTGTTTTTTGGCTAGCTTTGCCGTTTAGGGAAAGGAAGAATTTTATACGGTTATTTAAAGACGTACAATTGTTTTTATTGCAAATTTTCAACAAACAAAATAATAGTCTTTTCAAAATCTAAGCCTCGGGTTATTCTTAAATTATTCTCCAAAATCTCAGGCTTGATATTCTCATAAAATATATTCTTACAAAAAC